GGCATTTTTGTTGATGGTGACGTGACTTCGGTTGAAGCAAGAGCGGATTCAACGACCAATCGGATGGGCGCGTGCGTTTGAGCGACTCGCTTATAGCGCATGTGGAAATGCGTTTACGCTACAGCGTCAACAGAAAATGACCAGCGCGCTCAAGATATATTGACCGCTGTCACTTCGGAATTTTTTTGTAACTAGGTGTAATATCTAGTTTAATACAGAGTATATCGCGATGACATAAGTAAGTTGCCAGATAGCGGAGAACGGTTTGTGTGGATTAATAAAAACCCTTTGAAATTCTAGTCTCTGAAAACGCACCAGCAAACCGGCCGCGCCACCACGCCCCAGCCCGCGAGTGATTCACTCGGGCATTCTCCAGCTACAAAAGGATAGGGAGCTTTTGGTAACCCATTACCTCTTGGTTTTGAGTTACATTATTGTATCTAATGATCTGCTAGCCTCCAAGAAACAGTATTGCTAGGTATGAGAGCGTATAGACAATCCGAATGTATAGATCATATCCGTAGCACAGATCTGGTCGGCGGCTAATGATAAACTGGATTACAAATGTTACACAAGAAATATTTATAATCATTTTGATATAATACTAAATAAACAAACGATTGCGATTACCAGTTTACTCTGACTAGCGCCCTAGCTTAGCTACGTAAAACTCGCACAAACCAAAACAGGCATAACATCTGTGACCTTGTTAATAATATTAAACAGTTATAATGAATCATATGATTGTCATTGACTGCATCAATCCCGTCATGCATGACAACAAACGAAATGGCAGAAGTTTCACGTCTCACACAAAGATATAACATTATTAATATTAGATCAATAAAACCACACACTACATACCTTCTAAGGAGCTTCTCATTTGGCGAAAGGTTGGTCAAACGTTGTCGCTTTCTCGCAACGCAAAGACTGCTGTTGTTGTTGTTGCCAAAATCCATATTCTCTTTCTTGACCAGGCTGGCCGAACGAATGGCAGGCAAATTTCCGCTACCAGCCCTTGGTACACCAGTAATGATGATGGTTTTCGTCATAGACATCGTTAAAGTAGAAGAAGGCCAAGCCTTTCCGTTCGTCCGTCCGCTACATTCGACAAACTACTACCAACTGTTTGGAAAACCGTAAATTCTCGCAGACTTACATCATTATTCAGGAATCGAAGGAAAACTGGCACAAACGACGACCGAATGCGTACCAGGATATGTCAGCGTGGCGCCTCGTGATTGGTCAGAATGCGGGTCATGACGTCATCGTTACGCACTGACGCTCAGACCGCAGTCACGTGTGTGTTGCGGTACATTTTGCTGATGCAATTTCGATATACGTGTCGTTGTACCTCGTGGAAGTTTGAGGGGGAGAGGGATGGGGTGGCTAACCACCCACCCTGTGTTACACGACTATTCCATTGTTTTCGTAAATGGCTGATATTGCAAGCCTGAAAGCAATGGACAGCTCATTTCTTTTTCTATGTGTCGTCAGAAGTATAGCTGCATATGTTGTACCCGGATGTGTCTCAAATGCCAACTCGCGCATTATAACGCGGATACATATAATGCCCATGATCGCTCTAGCTGTCTCTCCCTCCCTCGCTATCGTGCTCTCTCTCTCTCTCTCTCTCTCTCTCTCTCTCTCTCTCTCTATCTCTCCCCTCTCCCCTCTCCCCTCTCTTTATCC